CACACACACACACACACACACACACACACACACACACACACACACCCTCCATCCAAGTGTCTCTGACAGACATTTTTTAAATGGGTGAAATGTTCTAATGTGACTGAAACAAAAAAAAACTCCAGATAAGATAAAGAGTTAACTCGAGTGCATTCCTCCTCCAAGGCTCGACATCTAAATTCAATACATTCTGATTTTTATTCTGACCCAGTTCCTAAACAAGTCTGATCTCTTTCATCGCAATCCACGAAAAAGATTCCCTGAGAAAATAAGGGAAATGCCAGGAAACGCTCTGTCCAGTGCAATGTTAACAAAAGTGGTACAAACATTCCCGGATCTGCACCAAAATTTAATGAATTCTGTCTTCGCCCATGACCCATCTGACCACCGGGTTTCCAGATGATCCGTTCAGTTGTTTACGTGTAATCTTGTTCACAAACGCGCGGACAGATGTGAAGACATGATCTCCTGGGTGGAATCGAAAAAAATACCGTTTGTCACTTCACTGCAACTGTGTAGTGCAGGAGAAAACACACACTCACATAGGAATGGGCCGACCATGTAAATGTCAACGATGTCGGAAGAGATTTATGCAAACTCTTTGGTTTATCTCTCCAAACACACACACACACACACACACACACACACACACACAAACACACACACACAAACACACACACAAAGGGTTCAATTGGCTGTGGATTTATCCGACAAGAGGAGACTTTTCCTCCAATTTCCCATTTGTAGACTCTTCCACACCGACTCCGAGACAAGATAAACCAGTTCACCACCTCTCACACACTCACTCACACACACACACACACACACACACACACACACACACACACACACATACACACACTCACTCACACACACACACACACACACAGCTTTTGAATCATTCATAACACAGACCCCCCCTCCCCACACACACCCACCACTTCACCTGTGTGCCCTTCCCTGCTTTTCTCCTCCACCCCCACTCTGTGTGTGTCTCTTTACCACTAACTCCTCACTCCCTCCCCTTTAACCAATTCTAAACTGGAGGAAGAGGAGGAGGAGGAGGAGGAGGAGAGCAGGGAGTTCCTCTCCTGCAGAAAACGCCCAGTAAAGTCAAGTGAGAGAAACAACTATTCACCTGTTGTTCACTCAGCCAAATGTCCCTATCGACTTTCCACCTATACTCCAAAAGCACCAAGTCTCTGTATCTGGTTCCACAACACGCAGCCAACACTTCAGAACCAGTTCAACCAAAATACAAATTCACAGGGAACTTCCAGCTCAGACAGGGGAGATATTCACCTCCCCAGGGGACAGATTTCACTCCACTTCACTTTAACAGATGTCGAGGACAGACACGTGTAATTTTCAAGTCAGGGACAAATTAAAAAAAGTGTGAGACTTAGTTTGTCAGCCTGAACCGGAGGCCCCTGGTTCTACCTGTGGGGCCCGAGGGGAAGCAGATGAAGTGTGCTGGAAGCAGAGATACAAGCTTTTAACCGGATAGTGATCGAATCTGTGTTTGTTTGGAAATAAAGCAGCTCTCAGGTTTCTGCTCTCTGGCTCTTTGGGTTTGTGGTCGGGGGATCTTCTCTAGCCGCGGGTCAACCACCCACCTGCGCCTCGTCGCCGCCGCTGCCCCGGTCCAGCTCCCCGATATAGTACTGCTCCATCCACCGCCGGGCGTTCTCCGAGTGCCGGTGCGGGGGTCCCTCCATCTCCCGGCTCACGTCCTGGCCCGAGCGGCGGAGGATCAGCGCCTCGCCGCCCGGGTGCATCCGCAGGAAGGCGGTCACGTCGTACACCCGGGTCCCCAGCAGCACCCAGCAGGAGTCCTTGGTGCGGTGCCGGGACACCTCCCTCTCCATGAAGCAGCGGGGGGACGGAGACATGCTGACGGAGAAGCCGAGAACAAGTGGTGTGAGGGGGGGGAGAAGAGAGAGAGAGAGACCTCCAGGGAGGACTGACAGCTTCACGACCGGTCAGGGAGTCACACTCCGCCGTTTACACCCGGAGGCTGCGGAGCCTCCTGCGGAGCTCCGCGGGGACAGAGGCGGGGTCTGTGACGCGTTCAGCGGCTGGGGAAAACAGGCACACGCGGCCTCACGCGGAAGCCTCCAAACCCGAAACTTGACCTCACGCAAATCCCCTCTTGACTCCTCGTGTGACTTTGCAAACACTATTCAACTGTTGTCTGTCACTGATATTCACACTGAAACTGAAAAAAAGGGGACACGTTTCACATAAGGTGGAGAAAGATACAGGATTCCTGGGTGTTCCCTGAACGCAGCATCCCACCTGTCGCTGTTGAGCTCTGAAGTTATGTCCGAACACGATGACGTCATCAAACTAATCAATACTTAATCACCTAATAACGATAGATCATCAAAACACACACGGTCGCACGTGCATTCTTTGAATTACTATTATAATTACAGGTTAAATCGAGAGGGAGGAATTATTTTTCAAGAGCTGTCATCACTTCCTGATCAATAATCAATACTTCATCGTCTAATCACGAAAGATCATCAACATACATCCATTCAAACGTGCATTAGTCAAATCTGTTGGTTACAGATTCAATCCAAAGAGAGACGTCATGTCTAGAGATTGAAATAAATTGAAATACACAGCGATACATGGAGCCAAATACTTGAATACTTGATACTGTGAAGTAGTAGATACTGAAACTGGAGATTAAAAACAAACACCACTTCCTCCAGGATGGTTTGCTGCAGGTTTTAATTAGCTTCCAAACTAAAACTCTAAAAAAATTAGATTTAAAGAAGATTTAACTAATGTGTGTTTATGTTAATGCTCATATCCCCCATCCCCCCCCCCCCCCCCCCCCCCCCCCCCCCACTGAACAGAGGGCGTGTGTTTGTTCTGCTTCTCCTCAGCTTTATCTCCACTGAACAGACCAAGTCAGTCTGCTGCCAGAAATACATATTCATTGACTAAAACAGTGACGTCACAAGTGGCCCTGAAAGCAACAGGTTTCATCAACTTGTCCACTAGCGCCCCCATGAGGGTTCAGGGGAGTACGCCATGTGCTGACAAACAAACAAATACAAGAAAAAGACATGAGGCTGTCTCGTGCATTAACATGTTCAAATTTGTGATTGCACTACATGTGTTTGCTGTTTTTTTTTTATATCTGTGTAAACCTGTTTTTTAAAAGTCTCATTTAAATTTAGTTTATTATCTTTATATTTTCAGTTAAGAACCAAATAGAATAGAACGAAACATATTGAAGACTATTAAAAGTATAAATAATTATAAAGTGATACTGGTAACATTTACAAAACCAAACAATTCAATATTTCTGAACCTGTAGGAACCTGCAGGCTGGTGCGTAAACCAGCAGAGAGCAGAAAAGGACCAAAGATATAAACAGAGTGATGGTGGCGACTTGATGAGAGTCAAACACAGTCTCATCTCTTTTCTTCTACAGATGATCCAACACAAAGATGATTTGTGTTTCTTTCTTTACCTGACTTTGAATTGCAAATGTATGAGACGTACAGTATGATCCTGTTTCCTATATGAGTTCTTGACATAGAAACCATACTTAAAAATAATAATAATAACTTATTTGTATAGCCCTTATCTGAACAAGGTTAAAAAAAAGTGCCTCATAAAATACATTTATAAAAATGAAAAGATGATGAAAAGCCAGGTTTTAAGGATTTAGGTTTAAAAATGTCAACACTCGCAGCTGCTCTTAAAAAGAACTGTTCTCAAAGAATTAAGAACTCTGTCCAGAGCTGTGGTTCTGTATTTAAAGATGGAAAACATGACGTGTCCCTAAAAATGAAGCCAAAGTGCCTCAAACGCCCCCTGGTAGTTTGCTGCAGCATAGGTCATGAACCTAACCTACTCCATGTTAGTAGATGGGACCAAACTAAAAAGTCAAAAAAATGCTTTTCCCTTGACATACATAGACAACATAGAGAGGAGCTATCCCAGCCGATGTTCAACCTCACACACACACCTACAGTCATCAGGGATGTCTCTGGCCTGTGGGAGGAAGCCGGTGTATCCAAAGAAAACCCACGCAGACGAGGTGGAACTCCAGAAAGGACAGGACTTCTTGTTGGGAGGCGACAGTGCTTACGACACCTTGCAACCCAACTTTGACCCACATCACTGATGTATCTTTCTGGATAGTGGGAGGAAGTGGATGCTCGTTGTCCAACTCTATATACAATCTGTGGTGGGGATTCTGTGAAGGGCCCCTGGATAAACCTGAGGGGCTGATTCAGGAGTCTTTTCTTTTTAAACTTGGCATTTAAAACAGCACAAGTTCACTCCTCTGGAACGGCTGCCGTCAGTGGATTTGGGCCTATGTTGCATGAGTGTGAATAATGAGTCAAGACAATGTGTTTGACAGTTGGTTTGATGTGTCGACACCTCAGACCTTCTCCTGTTTCCTCACTTTACAGAAGAGAAAACACATCAGAGTGAGCGTGTGTCCGATCACCTGGTATCTCTTCCCGTCAGTGATGTGAAGTATTGGACTGATTGATGATATATAACGCATCAGTGCGTCGCATTGTTCAGGGACATCACCCAACACCGTGTGACGCATGCTGCCCTCCTCGCCCTCACAGCCTTTTCTCCTACATCTGTTTTCTCTCTCTTTCACATTTTCTCTCCTCTTTCTCCAACTTTTGTTATCTTTCTCTTCTTTCTCGTCATCTTCTGCATCCCTCTTTTCCTCTCGTCATCGTCATGCCCCCCTCCGGTTTTTCCTCCTCATTTACTGCTGCTTCTAAATATAACCTGCAAAACAAAGCAGTCCTCAGCATACGTGACAGTGTCTGTAACCTGAAGCAACATGCAAAGTGTGTGTTTCTGTGTGTGTGTGTGTGTGTATGTGTGTCTGTGTGTGTGTGTGAGATGCTGGGAGTGACCTCAGTGTGGTGATGTCACAAGTAGGCGGGGTTGTTTTGTGTATAAAAGGCCAAAATTCTCATGCTAATAATCATTTCATCACTTCAGAGCGTTCACACTCGTCCATGGCTACCGTCGTACCTGTAAGTATCTCTGTGTGTGTGTGTGTGTGTGTGTGCATGTCCACCTCATACTGCTGCGTCACTCATTCATTTCAATTCTGTGTTTTACTTGTGGCTTAAAGAGACTTTTAGATGATCCCCGGTAGATCAGCAGGTGAAAGCAAACTCAAAGGTGCTTAAAAGTGTAAACGTCTACATTTTAGGAAAAGTGAATGTAATAAATTAAATATATTTCTCAAATATAATCGTGTCATTGTTGCTGTAGACATCTGATAGGATGAACACTTATTGTTTTCTCTGTACACGACGGTTCAGAGATACTTTAGCAGGTCAGCTATTATGAGTACATGTGTGTGTGAGTGTGTGTGAGCATGAGTAGACAACTGTTGGGAGGTCGGAGTACACGATCAGGTGTCGCTGCTGTAAACGAATCTGCACTGAATTCTCCCTGTGAGATTGATCCTTTGTGTATTTGTGTGTGTGTGTGTGTGTGTGTGTGTGTGTGTGTGTCTTGGGTTTCTGATGAAGTGGGTGATTAAGTCTGCAGATGCTAATTAGAATGGGTGATGTGTGTACTGTATGTGTCTATACATACATAATCGATTGTGTCTTTCTTCAGCATCTATTGTGTATTAGTGGATTAACGTGTTAGAGCTCTGAGGGTGATAATTACAATTTGTAAATAAACAATTATCAGTATTTTTAATTATGCTTTAGTTATTAAGTTATTTCCTCAGTGACAACGAAGCAGTGTCACACACACTTATCACGCAGCAGGTTCGAATCAATTCAAATTCAATTCGAATAACTTAATTAACCCCAGTGGGGACAATTCATTAGGAACAGCTCGTACAAAAAAAAACACAGGAACAGGAAGAAGATATAAGATACAAGGTAGTTAAATGAGGGACAAGGGTATACAAACATAATAATAGAATACATAAAATGAATGGCAAGAACAAAGTGGATAAAAAAATGTGTGTTATTTCATCACAGTTCATATTTAGTGTTTATCACTGTGTTGATTTTATGCAGTGAAGCTGTGAGGCTCCATATAAAAGATGTGATAACACAGCAGCTCATGTGTTTCAAACAGATGCTGGTGTCTATGTACCTAGAATAGAAGAGAATGCCTTTATTTGTCATGTTACAGCTATGCAATGAAACTAAGTGCATCTCTGTAGTGAAAACATATAAATATGAATATGGTAGAACAGACACAGTGGTCTGCGTGTAAACAGCATACACTACAAAAAACAATTAGAGCCAGTGTGTTATTGCGGCATGTGGGTAAATGACTTTCTTATGTAATTCATAGCATTTGATTTACTTTATCTGGGGAGAAATTACTTAATTAATAAACAAATAAATCCATGATTCACCAGAAATATACAAAAATCTTAGGGAGCCATAACGTCGTCCATCTTTATGGTTGAAAGTCATTATTCTGATTTATAATATGTTCATGTGTCTCTCTCTTACCAGTTTGCGTCCTGCTATGGCAGGGGCCAGCCCCTGCAGCTCTTTGGCCGGGGTCCCGGAGGCAGCAACTACCTGTCCCTCCTCACATACCGGGGCCCTCGATGCACGCTGAGACCCCGCCTGGCATACCACCCTCCCAAAATGACCCTGCGGCAGATCTGTCGCATGCTGAAGGTGATGAAGCAGGTCAGGAAAAGAGAGGCTGCTGTGGCTGCTGCTGCCTGCAGGTGATACATTATTTCCCTGCAAGAGACAAATATGTTAATGGCCCTTTACTTTTATAAGCTGATACAAATACTTATGTAAGATGCACTGTTTCACTGCTGTACCGTCATTAACAGTCTTACCTCTTAGGTCCACACCTAAAGACAAACATAACTTCAATTGTGTTAATATAACCTGTTACCTTCGAGTTAAATAAACTCAATTTATCATTCATGCTTTGTAAATATTTACTGATTGCTTGTCAGATCAAATACTGATAAGAAGAAGAAGATAATGGGTTGTCAGATTAGAAGTGTTTATCATTTCTAATTGGCAATAAAATAAGTATAATTGTTAGTAGCAGTTAATAAATGCTTCATAAGTTGACTGGAGAAGTTGTTCTGTTTGCGTGTTTGAACATTGTCTGATGTGTCTTTGAATTACAGCAAATGTTAGCATTTAAAGTAT